TTCCTACCTAAACCTTCAAGAACATGAACAAGAATAGTTTAGTTTCCTACCTAAACCTTCAAGAACATGAACAAGAATAGTTTAGTTTCCTACCTAAACCTTCAAGAACATGAACAAGAATAGTTTAGTTTCCTACCTAAACCTTCAAGAACATGAACAAGAATAGTTTAGTTTCCTACCTAAACCTTCAAGAACATGAACAAGAATAGAATCGGTTTCAGCATTGCTTGGTGAACAGCTGTAGTTTCCACTATCCCGTTCTCGAAGCCTGGAAACAAAATCATTTTCAATCCTGGGGTCGTATTTTCGGAACGTTCAATTTACAAAGGTTTCAAAAGAGAGTTCGTTTTCTTAACCGTCTTGTTTCGTGGAAATCCGCAAAATTTCTACCAAAAAAAATTCCCTGGAGCGTAAAAGATCTAAAAGATTTAATTAAAACATTTATTTTTGTAAATTGTCATTAATGTACTAAATAACGAGTTAATTATAACTCTGTTGAAAATTTCTTTTATGTTGAGGTGCATTTTATTCTAATTAATATGTATGCACAGCTAAATGCATTCTAAATAATAAATTATAAATTTATATATTATTAAGATTCCAATATAACGACACTGTATGAGTATGACGTACTTCATTTGAAGCTAGAGTTACAACACCGATTCACAATGGTACCATATAAACCTTGGTGTAAAAATTGATTGAGTTATCACTGTTTTTCTTTCCAAAAGGAAAAATGCTGGTATAGGCTGAAACCTAAGCTTTTCAGGAGTAATCGAGACCTATATGAGTTCTATATCTGCTGTTCCTGTCTCGAGTAATTAACATAAAACTGTGTCAAAATTATACCAAAATTTTATAGGTAATATTTGGTATAAGATTCTTAGTTTTAAACAGATCATATTCAGTAAATACACAATCAATCTGAAAACTATGATATCCCAAAGGAGTCTGAAAAATTCAGGTTTGCTCCTATTATTATTTGAATTCAATAACTTTTCACTTTTATAGAATTCGTCCATATCACGTGACCAGCACTGCAACTAATGGCAGTGCAGTTTTTTTGTCACGTGTCTCCGTATGTATACTTGACCAGTGTACTGCACTGCATGCCATTGGTGGGAGTAAAGTATACTTTGAGTATAAGTAGATATGAAGTCCTATAGTAAAGTATACCTTGAGATAAGTAGATGTGAAGTCCTATAATAAAGTATATACCTTGAGATAAGTAGATGTGAAGTCCTATAATAAAGTACATACCTTGAGATAAGTAGATGTGAAGTCCTATAGTGAAGTATATACCTTGAGATAAGTAGATGTGAAGTCCTATATTAAAGTATATACCTTGAGATCAGTAGATATGAAGTCCTATAGTAAAGTATACCTTGAGATAAGTAGATATGAAGTCCTATAGTAAAGTATACCTTGAGATAAGTAGATATAAAGTCCTATAGTAAAGTTTATACCTTGAGATAATTAGATATGAAATCCTATAGAAAAGTTTATACCTTGAGATAAGTAGATGTGAGGTTCGACGACGCTTCTCTGTAATTATCGCAATTCCTCCCCTGCTAGAAAGATGGAGGCCATTCCCGTTCTAAAACAAAAGTTTCTTAAATAAAAAATTTGTATTCATTATGCAAACCTAGATATATTTGTCTCAAAAATCAATCAACAAGATGTTGCCAAATACTTCTACATATGATGAAGAAGAAGGCTGAAAAACTGTTAGTTAGTTATAGGCTTGCAGCATAACGAAATTGCAGTTTTTCATTTGGTAAATGTCTCTTTTTTTGTATACACTCTAAATTGTGACTTATAATGTCATTTTCCGATGAAACATTTTATTCAAAGATTTTGAAAACGAAATAATTAATTGAGAAATGTTAAGAAATTCAGGCTCCTTAACATTTTCGAAATACTACACTCCCAATATTTGATTGAGACATTTTATCGCGAATTAACGCAATTAATGTCAAAGGTTTTCTTTTTATAAAAAATATTTGATTATCAATTAAAACTAATTGGTCTGATACCACAAATTTTTTCAAAAAATATGTTTTCATTCTGACGTAATTTAAGATACTAGCCTTTTGGGGCGCTTCGCACCCATGTTATATTTTAATTGTGAACATATAATTTCTTTCTGTACATCGTAAAACAAAACAAACAAAAAGGTTCGCGGATTTTGACAAAAAATTTCGGGGATTTTCAAAATTTTCAAAAATTTAAGGAAAATCGAATTTTGATGGAGACAAATATTTGAAATTTTAATCATTCATAAACCTTCCTTGGGGCTTAGTGAGGTCCCACACAAAATTTGGGCCTGATCGGTTTAGCCGTTGTGACGTTTATTGGATACAAACAAACAGACAAACACCCAAACACCCACCCAGACAAGCTAAATTTATATATAGAAGCTAAATATAGAAGTCTTGTAACAGAAACAATATGGGAGAATTTTAAGCTAAAAAAAACAACAAAATCTTTAACATGATTGATCAGATAAAAGTTCAAAGGGTGAATCGGAGGTCACTTACTTAGTTTATAAATCAACTGTGTAAAGGGAGGAAGAAAAGAGGAAAATAAGTGTTAATAGAAGCACTATAAAGATATCAGAATTTAAGGATAAAAAATAACGTGAAGATTTAACAGGACCGATAGATAGATAGATAGATAGATAGATAGATAGATAGATAGATAGATAGATAGATAGATAGATAGATAGATAGATAGATATAACATTCTTCTAACTTAGTTTTTAATTTAATTAATACTCTTGTAAAGTGAAGAACCGCTTCTATTTACATATCGTGTGACCTATACTATATTAGTTTTAAAACATGGTGAACACATGTGGTAAAGGTTTGAAATATGTGGTAGAAGTTTAAATCATGTGAAAAGGTTTAAAACCTGTGGTAATGGTTTAAAATATGAAAGGTTTAAAAAATGTGGCAAAGATGAAAACCTGAGGGAAAGGTTTAAAACATAAGGTAAAGGATTAGAACAAGTAGTAAAGGTTTAAAACATGTGGTAAAGGTTTAAAACATGAGGTAAAGGTTTAAAACATGTGGTAAAGATTTAAAACATGCGGTAAAGGTTTAAAGCATGTGGTAAAGGTTTTAAACATGTGTGAAAGGTTTAAAACATGGGGTAAAGGTTTAAAACATGAGGTAAAGGTTTAAAACTTGTGGTAAAGATTTAAAACTTGTGGTAAAGGTTTAAAACATGAGGTAAAGGATTAAATCATGTAATAAAGGTTTTAAACAAGTGGTAAAGGTTTAAAACATGTGGTAAAGATTTAAAATATGTGGTAAAGGTTTAAAACATGAGGTAAAGGTTTAAATCATGTGTTAAAGGTTTTAAACATGTGGCAAAGATTTAAAACATTTAAATATTGAGATAAATATGAGAAGAAACGAGAAATCAAGATGCATAGCTCCATCTGACATTAAGGTTTAAACATGTGGTAAAGGTTTGAAATATGTGTTAAAGGTTTTAAAACATGAGGTAAAGGTTTTAAACATGTGGTAAAGGTTTGAACTATGTGGTAAAGGTTTAAAACATGTGGTAAAGATTTAAAACTTGTGGTAAAGGCATTAAAAGAAATTGGAAACCAATAATCTTGGGTTCTTTGTGAACACTGGCAGTGGGACAATGATCTTTTAGATGTCTAAATATCAAGGATTAATTATTTTAGTGGTGGTGGTATCAATAATTGCATTGATATTAAGATATCAATGATCATATTGATGTCTAGCAATAAATAATCAAATTGATATCTACATATCAACGATCGAATTGTTCAGGTATTAATGATCGTATTTATGTTGATATCAATGATCGTATTTTATGTCTATATATCAATGATCCTATTGTTGTCCAGATATCAATGATCTTATTAAAGTTCAGCTATCAATGATCGTATTGATGTCCAGATATCAATGATCTTTATATCAACGATAGTATTAAAGTTCAGATATCTATGATCTTTATATCAATGATAGTATCTAAGTTCAGATATCAATGATCGTATTGATGTCTAGATATCAATGATTGTATTGAATAAAATGAATGTTTAATTTGACAGATATTGCGATAAATATGAGAAGAAACGAGAAATCAAGATTCATAGCTCCATCTGACATTAAGGTTTAAAACTTGTGGTAAAGGTTTGAAATATGTGTTAAAGGTTTTAAAACATGAGGTAAAGGTTTTAAACATGTGGTAAAGATTTAAAACTTGTGGTAAAGGTTTGAAATATGTGTTAAAGGTTTTAAAACATGAGGTAAAGGTTTTAAACATGTGGTAAAGATTTAAAACTTGTGGTAAAGGCATTAAAAGAAATTGGAAACCGATAATCTTGGGTTCTTTGTGAACACTGCCTGTTACTAGTAAGATATCAGTGGAAAACTTTATAAAACAGTTTCAATAATAAAGTTTCAGTTCTTTGTCAATTTAAAATTAATTTAATCAACCTTAAAAAGGAGGGGGGGGGGTTAAAGGGTTTGAGGGTGTGGTTCTTAATGGCTAATAAACTTTTCGACCACTTAACCGATATAATTCAAATTTTGAATGGAGAGCTTTTTAGAACAACGGAAACGTTCTAAGTTGAGTTGGTCGACTTATATATATTTCCAGACAAAGCTGGGTTTCTAATATAGAAGACAAATATGTTAAGAAAATACTCTGAAATACAGATTACAATAAAATAAAACAATTTTCTCCTTCTTTTCCTTTCTTTGAGTAAAGTTTCTTTAAGAGAGAATTAATGTGAAGTTCGATAATATTCAAAGATTTGTTTTCATGTTTTTAGCAATTCACTGTGTCTATGAGCCATATAATATTGGTTACATAAAAATTTATTTCACGCATTTTTGGTTCAAACAAGAAAAATAAATCATAACAATAAACCTGAGACAAATTGGCCTGAAATTTAAAGGAAATTATTTAAAAGTTAAAAATTCACAAATAATGATTAGAAATCTTCAAAAATGTGCCAGTTCTTATAGTTAAGTGTTCCAAAAACTAGATTTCATATTTGAATCAAAAAAACTTCTTCCTTGACGTTCCATAAACTAGACTTTTATCATTGATCACAGAAAAACTAATTCTATAGCGTTCAACAAACTACTTTTCACGATAGATGAAATAGAAATTGTTCCTACGCGTTCTTTATAAACCAGCTGTATTGATTGCTTACAGAGAAACTAGTTCCTTAGAGTTCCATATAAAATAGCTGTTATGGGTAACAACAGAGAAACTAGTTCCATAGCGTTCCATTTACTGGATGTCATGGCTCTTGGGTGATTACAGAGAAATTAGTTCATTAGAGTTCCATTTAAAATAGCTGTCATGGGTAATTAACTACATAGAAACTACGTACATAGCGTTCCATTTACTAGCTGTCATGGCTCTTGGGTGATTACAGAGAAACTAGTTCCTTAGAGTTCCATATAAATAGCTGTCATGGGTAACTACAGAGCAACAACTTACATAGCGTTCCATTTACTAGCTGTCATGGCTCTTTTGTGATTACAGAGAAACTAGTTCCTTAGAGTTCCATATAAATAGCTGTCATGGGTAACTACAGAGAAACAACTTACATAGCGTTCCATTTAATAGCTGTTATGGCTCTTGAGTGATTTCAAAGAAAATAGTTCATTTGCGTTCCATAAACTATCTTTAATAGTTAATTGCAAAAAGACTCCATTTAGAATTTAGAAGCCTCGAAAAATGTTTTTATTTTTTCAATCAGACATATTCCATTGTTTTGGTAAAGTACATTTTCTCTGCTTGAGAGTTTTCTTGGATCTGCGACGTAAATAAATTCTAAATCTAAAGTTTTCACCATTGACATAAAACTATTCTAAATCCTAAAATATCCTGTCCATCCTTGTATAAAATGACAGTTGGTGGAAATAAAATATATAGACTCTAGCTTGGGAACTCAGCTTCGTCTGGCAACTGAACTTTACCTTAAGAAAGTCAACCCATTCAACTAAAAATCTTTGACTTTTATTACTCCACCAAAGAATACTTGTAACCACTCATTCCACTAATTACTTAACCGGAAGGATACTTGTAATCACTCATTCCACTAATTACTTAACCGGAAGGATACTTGTAATCACACATTCCACCAATTACTTAACCGGAAGGATACTTGTAATCACTCATTCCACTAATTACTTAACCGCAAGGATACTTGTAATTACTCATGACGCTAATTACTTAACCGGAAGGATACTTGTAATCACTCATTCCACTAATTACTTAACCGGAAGGATACTTGTAATCACTCATTCCGCTGATTACTTAACAGGAAGGATACTTGTAATCACTCATTCCGCTGATTACTTAACCGGAAGGATACTTGTAATCACTCATGACGCTAATTATTTTACCAGAGGAATATTAGTAGTATATGTATATACCAAACAAATATCTAATAAAGTAAAGAAAAGAATTATAATGCATTTTCTGATATTTTATCAAATACTATATCTTAGGAACCCAGATTTGTCTGGAATATAAACTTTCCAAGTGAAAGTCAACCCCCTCCACCTAGATCTTTTAAACCAAGCTAATAACATTCCCGTTATTTTACCGAGTTCCCCACTCGAACTCGAAGGCAAATCGGTCAAGAGTTTTGACATACAATCAAACAAACACCAAAAACATATAAATCTACTATATATTGTTTATTCTGATAGGTTATAAGAAACAATAATTTACTACTTTACTCAATACAATCTTGGGAACCCAGCGTGACCCCGGGAGTTCATTGCTAATCCTACCATTTACCTGCCCCATGTTGTAAATTACGATTTTAGCGTTTTTCCCGTTAAAAGTTGACCCACTCAGTTTAGAATCTCAAAACCAAGCTAAGAACATTTCCATGACTCTCCTGAGATCCACAATCAAAATCGATCCTGGTGTTTTTGAGTTACGCTCGGACAAAAAAAGAAAAAACACAGATTACAACATTGGATAGATGCTAAAATTTAAAACTTTAAAAAAAAAGTTTTATTTCGATACTTTTTGCGAGACCAATATTTTTCACACAAAAAAAAACCACTTTGCTAAATAAATTTTGCGAGAAATAAAAACGTATATCTTGAATAAAATAGACCATAAATCTGTTGCAAATCCGCAAACGTTTCATTTTCTCATGTGTCAGCGCCATTTTTATTTCTAAACGGGATTGTTCATAAACATACAGTGCATTTACCTCATTTCCTCATTTTACGAGAAATTTAGCATTTTTCTTAATCTTTAAATACAAATATTTAGAACTACTTCGTTGAAATGATCTCATTTTTAAGAAAATAAGAATGAAGAACGATTTATGAATAATTGTTTTTACTCTCAATTTTGTTGACTAATTAATCAGTTAATCAACTTTTCTCAAAAAGGCGTATTTTCCATTGATGTATCGTTTGTCATATTTAGACATCAAACATGGGATCCAGCTAAGCGTGAGACCAAACTCCTTTTCCATAATTTGTTTTTGAGATTAATGGAGATAAAAACGTTTCGATCATAACTGCTATCATTAAAGAGCTGATGAGAAGAACAAACATGTTTTGAATTTCTTGTATTAACCAAATTTTTGTTCTCATAATTAAAATTTAAATTAGAGAAGCTACGAGGTAGCAAAGTCATTCCTGTGATGCTGCATAATGTAGTTAGGCATGAACAATTTACATATGAGGTTTAATCATATTGTTTATGTACATGAACTGATGGTTCCACCGGTGTAGATAGATATGTACCCGTCAGGTTTAAATCATATTATTTATGTACTTACTTGAGACCAGCGAACATGTACTGGTGGTTCTGGTGTTGTTAGACATGTACATGTCAGGTTTAAATCATATTGTTTATGTACTTACTTGAGACCAGCGTACATGTACTGGTGGTTCTGGTGTAGTTTGCCATGTACATGTCAGGTTTAAATCATATTATTTATGTACTTACTTGAGACCAGCGTGCATGTACTGGTGGTTCTGGTGAAGTTTGACATGTACATGTCAGGTTTAAATCATATTATTTATGTACTTACTTGAGACCAACTTATATGTACTGGTGGTTCTGGTGTAGTTAGACATGTACATGTCAGGTTTAAATCATATTATTTATGTACTTACTTGAGACCAGCGTACATGTACTAATGGTTCTGGTGTAGTTTGACATGTACATGTCAGGTTTAAATCATGTTGTTTATGTACTTAACTGAGACCAGCGTACATGAACTGGTGGTTCCGGTGCATGTAGTTAGACATGTACATGTCAGGTTTAAATCATATTATTTATGTACTTACTTGAGACCAGCGAACATGTACTGGTGGTTCTGGTGTAGTTAGACTTGTACATGTCAGGTTTAAATTATATTGTTTATGTACTTAATTGAGACCAGCGTACATGAACTGGTGGTTCCGGTGCATGTAGTTAGACATGTACATGTCAGGTTTAAATCATATTATTTATTTACTTACTTGAGACCAGCGTACATGTACTGGTGGTTCTGGTGTAGTTTGACATGTACATGTCAGGTTTAAATCATATTGTTTATGTACTTACTTGAGACCAGTGTACATGTACTGGTGGTTCCGGTGTAGTTAGACATGTACAATTCAGGTTTAAATCATATTGTTCATGTACTTACTTGAGACCAGCGTACATGAACTGGTGGTTCTGGTATTGTTAGACATGTACATGTCAGGTTTAAATCACATTGTTTATGTACTTACATGAGACCAGCGTACATGTACTGGTGGTTCTGGTGTAGTTTGACATGTACATGTCTGGTTTAATCCATATTGTTTATGTACTTACTTGAATGAAAAACAAAATAGAAAATAATATCTAAATATAAAAGCCGACAAAAGGCACAATAGATCTTTTTAAACGAAATTTTCTGCTCTTTCACGATCTGTCATTGTGAATTAGATTCTTAGGTTTGCAACAGAAACTTTCAAATAGAAGATACAAATTAAAAATTATCTTGATGAATTTTAGTAACAGTACAAAAAAATGGCACTTTTTAGTGCCATTAAAACTTGCAATATTTTTGTAAATATTCTAAGCTTTATTTTCCTTTTTTCCTTTTTTGATATTTGTTTAAACTGTAAAATCTGTTTGTGATTTCTATTTCTTTGCATAAATATTTTCCTTCACAAAAGAATTTTCAAATAAGATGTTGCTAAAATTTTTAGGAGAATATTTTATAAAAGGCAAAAATATGAAATATATGAATTATAAATTAATATCTGTAACAGAATCATTAAAAATTATGCGTGCTTAAATACATGGTAATTTTTATTTTGTGTAAAAAATACATTTAATTTAATATTTAAATGTTTATTGATTAAACATTACTTAAATGATTTCTTAAATAATCCGGGTTCAATAAAAAGCCTCTCATGATAGGATTTTTTTTTTCATTCATTTTTTCATTAAAGTTCTACAAATCTCAAGATGGTAAATTAATTGGGATTATTTTTTTAATTTTATTATTTCATGGTTTGCCGTTGACATAAAAAAATATGATCTGTTAAAATATCGCCGCTCCCACTAACAAACGAATCATAGGAGTCCTGCTGAGTAACGAATTATTAAAAGACTCCCACTAACAAACGAACCAAAGGACTCCTGCCCCACTATCATACGAACCTGTAGGACTCCTGCTGAGTAACGAATTATTAAAAGACTCCCACTAACAAACGAACCAAAGGACTCCTGCTCCACCAACATACGAGCCTAAGGACTCCTGCTAAGTAACGACTAATTAAAGACTCCCACTAAAAAACGAATCAAAGGACTCCTGCTAAGTAACGAATCATCAAAAGACTCCTACTAACGAACGAACCATTTATAGGGTTCCTGTTACTACTTGCTACAAATTATCAAAGTAAGCTTAAAACGAACGAACCCTAAAAATACTCGTTAACGAACATCTAGATGCTCGTTTAACCCTATTCCCGCTGGGGGGGGGGTCAATTTGACCCCCCCCTGTAGCTTTTTTTACATAACTCAAAAAGTATTGGTCTGAGGCTGTTGAAATTTTCTGACTTTTCTTACATATCCAAAGCCCTCCCTTTAGGCCTAAAACCGGGCTTTAATACTAACTGCCTGAGTCCTCAGGCACATTCCACTATCCTACAAAATATCCATGTTTAGGTTCAGTATTGATCTGACATTCTATTCATAGGTTCCACTATCCTACAAAATATCCATGTTTAGGCTCAGCCTTGATACCAGGGTTTTATATCATTACAGTACTTTATATAAACAATTGATGCCAGGGTTTGATATCATTACAGTGCTTTATATATACCTTGATACTAGGGTTTGATATCCTTACAGTACTTTATATATACCTTGATACTAGGGTTTGATATCCTTACAGTACTTTATGTATACCTTGATACAAGGGTTTGATATCATTACAGTACTTTTTGCATATCTTGATATTAGGGTTTGATATCATTACAGTACTTTATATATAACTTGATACCAGGGTTTGATATCATTACAGTGCTTTATATATACCTTGATACCAGGGTTTGATATCATTACAGTACTGTATATACACCTTGATACCAGGGTTTGATATCCTTACAGTACTTTATATATACCTTGATACTAGGGTTTGATATCCTTACAGTACTTTATATATACCTTGATATTAGGGTTTGATATCATTACAGTGCTTTATATATACCTTGATACCAGGGTTTGATATCATTACAGTACTTTATATATACCTTGATATTAGGGTTTGATATCATTACAGTGCTTTATATATACCTTGATCCAGGGTTTGATATCATTACAGTACTTTATATATACCTTGATACCAGGGTTTGATATCCGAAGATTCCACTCGTCTGATCCCTCTGGATGGATCGGGAAGAATTTCTGGTTGTTTGTGTATGAGGTTAGTCCAACAGTTAAAATATGGAGATCAGTTTTTCGGATCCAGGACACCTGAATATAGAATACAATATATCCGGGAAACCTGAATAAAGAATACAAATATATCCAGGAAACCTGAATATAGAATACAAGTATATCCAGGAATCCTAAATATAAATACAAATATATCCAGGAGTCCTGAATATAGAATACAAATATAACCAGGAAACCTGAATATAGAATGCAAATATATCCAGGAGTCCTGAATATAGAATACAAATATATCCAGCAAAAAGTGATAAGTATTTTCTAGCTACTGCGGTAAAACTATTTGCTTTAAACAAACAAATTAATGATTTTATAAATTTCGTCTTCAAAATCTAAAGCTTTAAGGGTTACATTTCAAATAAATCAAAGTCGAAAGTTTAATTTTGTATTTTTGTAGAACTTACTGAAATCTTCAGTTAGTCACTGAAGTTAACGGGTTCAGTTAATTTATAACTTGGCAATAAAATCCCCCCACCCCCCAACATTCTCCTTATAGCACTCTTCTTTCCTTTCAGGGGGGGGGGGGGGGGGGGGGGGCTGGAATATTCTGAATATTCTTTATTTGAATGTAAAAAGTTTTAATCTAGTTTGTCTGTTTTGAGCTTCCTTCATGGAGGTTTCCAGCTGTTATTAACCAAAACTTTACCAATTTAGCAAAAAGATATTTGTTTCAATCATTTCATGGCAGAGGGGGGGTGGGGTTATGGGGACATCCCCTTTTGTACAAGTATAGTGCACAGCTGTGCAGCGCCTCTTAACACTCAAAATTTGGTTCATTTTTAAATATTTTTTCTTCCAGGGAAAATTTTAAAAGTGGTCAGGATTTTAGTTCTAAAATAAAAAGAAACTGCTTGCTTACACTCCTAAAAATCGAATTTTCTAATTCCAAAATCTTTCTAAATGATAAATTGGCGAATATTCGACCATTATGAAAAATTCAAAGTATCAAATTTCAACCCCATCTGAGGCCAAATTTAAAGAATTTGAGCCGCGGCTCAGATATGAATGGATCCATTTAAAATTGTATTACATTTTTCAAGATTTAAGCCGGCGCTCAATTGAAACCGGTTTTTGGGGGATTTGAGACGCGGCCCAAATTCATTAAATTCGGACACAGGTTGGAAAGATGGAACAACAAATTAGAGTTTTCAAGACCAGCAATCAGTTCCTTTTAAAAAAAGTTTTTACTAAAACATAATCACTGTATTGATCTTGGAAACAAGATTTGAATTATTGGCTTAAAAATCCAATAATTCTCTAATATCCAAAATCAATATTTCATAATTAAATAAATTATAAGAACTACCTTGATACAACCGCTTGCTATAAAAAAGGTTGTGGTAACCTTACTATTAAATTTTGGTGTTAAAGAAGATATTTTCTTAAAGAAGTTGAGTTTTTGCCCCAAACTCTGATTTTCTTATCTCTATATCTTTGTAACCTAATGTCGTAGACCTTAGATATTTCAAACTATTAACACTTATAGATCAAATAAACTAAGTTTGAAATATCAAAGGTTTGCTCTATAAGATTGCAAAGATATTGGAATCAGAAGATTTTAATTTGTGGCAAAAACTCAATTCCTTTGACTTAGAATAAAAAATGTTTACAAGTGAAACTTGAACTTAGAAGAATTAGTGATGGCAGAATCCCAGGGGTGTAATTTACATTTTAAAAACTTTTATCTTTCCCTTTATTATAGAACCGTCTGAGTGGTTAAACTATAACATCAATGATGAAATTTGAATAAATCTCCATAATTTAAACATTTTCTTCTTTCATGGTTAGTCATCTATGCTTTTCATTGATATTTAACGCGATACAAAGGAATTGAGTCTTTGCCACAATCTTAAATTTTCTAATCCATATATGTTTGTAACTTGATGGTGTAAACCTTTGAAATTTCAAACTTAGATTATTTAACATTACAGAATTCATAGTTTAAAATATCCAAGGTCTACGACTCTGGGTTGCAAAGATATAGGGATTAGAATATTTGAGTTTGTGGAAAAGACTCAATTCCCTAGAATTTTTTAACCATCTGTTATTCTTAGTTTACAGGGCGCTTTTTGCTTAGATTTCTGGAAGCTTTTCTTAACTTTAGAATCATAACAAAATGTTGAAGATATTTTTCAGGTTTCATTGACGCTTTTTCAAAATAAACACACCTAGCTCTAAACCTTTAGTGGGGTACCACAGATATAACTTTAAAATTTTAAAAAAATGAATTTAAAAAAAATATTTTAGAAAAAAATCGAATAATTTTAGTCTTTGCCCCAGGGTATCCATCATGTGTTACCTCAAAAAGTTTCAGCCAATTTGGTCCAGCCCCGTGTGGCCAGCTATAGATATATTTGGTCCAGCCGTGTGGCCAGCTATAGATATATTTGGTCCAGCCGTGTGGCCAGCTATAGATATATTTGGTCCAGCCGTGTGGCCAGCTATAGATAAAACTATTTATATATTAATGAGCAGAGAGCTTTTATATATAGATAAAGTTCTATCACACCTTATTTGATGGTTAATGAGTGACAGCAAGATCAATACAGTGTGAATAAAATAATTAAAATTCTCTCTGAACTTTACTGAATCTTCCGGTTTAATTCAAGAGCCGGACTGACTTTGAACCAGCAAGAGCAAGCTGTACAATAAAATTTAAGTCAAACCGGGACGGTACGCCAAAAGAATGATCACAGGGGCGAAATTTTTCACAGATTTTTGCACAGACGCCTGTAAAGGGAATTTGCACATTTTCATTTTTTCTTGAATTTTCATTTGAATGCACTGGTCAAGGGATTTTCACAAATTTGTAATTTGCTGCAATTTGCGCAATATTTTTGCAGATTTTTTGCTTTATAACTAGATTTCGCAATAAATATTTGAACTTTTACAAATTTGCCATTTGTTTTGCAGATTATTGAAGTAGGGCTTTCTAAAAACGAATCAAATGTATAGATAAGAAAATAGGGGGGGGGGGGGGTAAATTTTCCCCCCCCCCCCCAGCAGCCAGCCAGTAAACCAGACGTCAGGCTAAATAGGGTTTATAGAAACATAAATATAGATGGAAATACCTAACGTACATGGTACATGATACTAAACTGTACATTTACTGTACATACAAAATACCCACAAATCCTCGAATAAAAACTAGCTCTTGTTTTTCTTACGACAAAGATTAATATAAGGGATAGTGTTGATAGGATTAAATTGCTTGAAGAAAGTTAAGGATTATTCCAATGGGATTGAAGAAGGGAGAGGGATTAGTCGAATGAGATTAAAGAAGGGGGAAAGGGGATTAGAATAGAATTAGCTCTGGAAAATACACAGAAATTATATCTGTTAATAGCGGTAATTACATTAAACAACGTATTCTCTACAGATATGCTTATACTGGCTTTTATTTGTTATTTATAAGATTTTTCTTAGAAAAGATCTCCTCTCTCACAAGTTAACAATAATATTCTTAAATATTTTAACCTTTTAATAGTTTTATTGCAACATTGCTGGATCATCAAACGTTTAAACTCATAAAAGCTAGGGAAGTTATGAAAATAAATTATGGAATTGACACACTGTCTCATATTTTCACATCACTAGATGTTTGTAACCGGATTGAGTAAACCTTTGTTAATTCAAACTTAAATTATTTGATCTTTAATTTTAGAATTTAAAACTAGAAATATCTAAGGTCGCCGACATTGTGTTGCAAAGATATAGGGAGAAGAAAATCAGAGTTTGTTGCATATTGGCTCAATTCCTTATAAGACTTTTTTATTGCAAAAAACTCGAACGGCCATGGCAAATTAGAACAAATCTTAAATATTTTTCAATGAGCTATACGGAGCTAACCACTGCGGCTATGATAAGCCGTAAAGCAGAGTGCTGCGTATAGGCCGGTCATGGAGCAGAGTGCTGCGGCTAAGGATGAGTCGATAAGCCGATAACTTCAGCTAGGATGAGTCATGGAGCATGTGTTACGACAAAAATGAGTGCTATGGCTAGATGAGCTAATGAGCTAATTGCTGCGGCTAGGAAAAGTTAATGAACTGAGTGCTGCAGCTAGGATAAGCTAATGAGCTGAGTGCTGCGGCTAGAATAAGTGAAAGCGCTGAGTGCTGTGGCTTGGATGAGCTAATGAGCTGAGTGCTACAACTAGGATAATATAATTAGCTGGGTGCTGCGGCTAGGATTAGCTAATGAGCCCAGTGCTGTGGCTACGATGAGCTATTGAGCTGAGTACTGCGACTAGGATGAGATAATGAGCTGAGTGCTGTGGCTAGGATGAGCTATTGAGCTGAGTACTGCGACTAGGATGAGTATTGAGCTGTGTGCTGCGGCTAGGTTGAGCTATAGAGCTGAGTGCTGCGACTAGGATGAGCTATTGAGCTGAGTGCTGCGGCTAGGATGAGCTATAAAGCTGATTACTGCGACTAGGATGAGCTAATAAGCTGAGTATTGCGACTAGGATAAGCTAATAAGATGAGTGCTGCGGCTGGGATGAGCTAATGAGCTGAGTGCTAAGGCTATGATAATATAATGAACTGAGTGCTAGAGTAATATAATGAATTTAGCAGAGTACTGCGACTAGGATGAGCTAATGAGCTGAGTGCTTCGACTAGGATGCGCTGTTGAACTGAGTGCTGCGGCTAGGATGAGCTATTGAGCTGAGTGCTGCGGCTAGGATGAGCTATTGAGCTGAGTGCTGCGACTAGGATGAGATATTGAGCTGAGTGCTGCGGCTAGGATGAGCTATTGAGCTGAGTACTGCGACTAGGATGAGCTACTGAGCTGATTAGCTAGGATGAGCTAGTGAAATGAGTGCTACGGCTAGGATTATCTAATGAGCTGAGTGCTGCGGCTAGGATGAGCTAATGAGCCCGAATGCTGCGGCTAGGATGAGCTAATGAGCTGAGTGCTGCGGGTAGGATGAGCTATTGAGATGAGTGCTACGGCTAGAATGAGCTAATAAGATGAGTGCTGCGGCTTGGATGAGCTAATGAGCTGGGTGCTGCGGCTAGGATGGGCTAAACTGCGGCTCACGGATTCTAATAAATGACTTACCGATCTATCTCCCAGGTTTCGAACTCGACACACCAGGGTTACTGTAGAACTCAGGGTTGTGTAGACCACTGTTCGGCTCGAGTTCACAAAGTACGGCGGTGATTCAGAGTCAATCAACTAAAAAAAGGAATAGTGCAGTGTGGCATGGTTCGATTCACAACAGCACTCTTAAGCCTTAAACAAGATATCCTTGCTAGTGGATTTATGCTACAAAACAGTTAAGGAAATTGTCAAAATCAAACACTTTTAAGCAAAAAAAACTATCTTATATTATTGATCACATAAAGTACACGGGTATGAACTTCTTTTAAATTGAGGGTAACTTAACATTGTAAACAATTAAGATTCTATTTTTAGAAAAATCGGTTTTTCTGAACTTCAAGTAATTTTTTCATTTTTTTTTTCTTTCCTTTTCTTTTTGGCTAAAAACAATTCAACTTTTTAGCAGAAAAGACAAATATAAGGGTTTGGAATTAAATCGTGAATTTTTATCTCCCTTTTATGTAGACAAACACATGTAGATAGGGGTAAAACTACTAGAACCTCTTTGTCAAGTTTAATAAAAAAAAGTGAAAAGTTTTACTTTTGTTATTAATGTAGAATCCGAACAAGAGTTTTGGAAGAAAACAAGGTTTTTATAAACTTTGCTAGAAGATAACTGTTCAATAGGGAGACATTTACTGTGATAGAAGTACCTACCCCTCCCCCTCTCCCCTCCATCTTTACATTCTTTCTACCCCTCCCCACCTCATCTTCCCCCCCTCTCTACCCATTCTTTCTACCCCTCCCTCACCTCTTCTCCTCCCTCTCAGCTTTTTACGACTTAAAAAGACAGCCCCTTTGGGCCTAGAATTTCATTGTTCTAAAGACCTATAAAATCTTATTTATGTATAAATATTTCCTTGGAGGAGTGCTTAAGTTAAAAACAAATTGAACCTATGTAAATAAAAAGTGGAAGATAGTTTCATGCATGGTATGCATTATGCATGGTTGCTATGTTTGTCGATGTTAATGTAATAAAAAAGAAAATCTAATTTAAGGGTGTATAAAAAAGATTGTCAATAATAACCTGTAAGCCTTCATGCTTTTCAATTGAAAATTTAAGACAATGTTTGGAATAAAGCTAGAAAACATATACACAGGTATATCAACCTGCTAGATTTAAGGGTATATATTTTTTACAAATGATAAGGACCCATTTAAACTGTTCAAAAGCTATCATTTCATAATTAATATTAAAGAGAAACTATATATATATATATAATATTGTTGATCCCATGGGTATACATTAACTTATTTTGGAAAAAGCATTTAAAAGTTCTGAACAACATATTATCATTAAGGATTCCCTATAATTCATATATATTAGATATAAGTACATGCAACTATCGTAAATATATCAACATTCATAATTCAAGTAGTTTATAATGCTTATGATAATAGAACGTATATTTGAGACGAAATAAATACCATGGAAGGATTGTCCTTAATGTCGCCACCTACAGATAAACTGTTCAGTAACATTTCGTCTAGTACACTTTCGTCTAAGTTCACTTTTGTCTAGTTCATTTTCGTCTAGTTCTTTTTTGTCTAGTAACCTTTGGTCTAAGTAACATTTGGTCTAAGTAACATTTGGTCTAAGTAACATTTGGTCTTAGTAACTTTTGGTCTAAGTAACATTTGGTCTAAGTAATGAATAAAATGTTTTTTAGTTTTACATAGGTAGTTAATAAGAAAATTTACATGATTCTTTGTTGTTGTTGTTGTTTGCCATAGACCAATATTAGCGTATGAATGAATATGGGAGTGATGAAGTACTTTTGACAACCATTTTTTATGGGACAAGGTTCACATTCTACAGAAGATTGTTACATCTTTCTGTAGACGCACTACTTCACGGAACCATCTCATTTAGGCAGTTTAGTTTTAGACCAAATTCTTCACTAAAAATACTTATACCATAAGTTAATTGGACAAAATGTTACTTACTCCTTTCTTAAAGTTACTTAAACCAATTCTGCAGTTTTAGACCAATTTACTTACTTAAAGTTACTTAGACCAAATGTTACTCAGACCAAATGTTACTTAGACCAAATATTACTTAGACCAAATGTTACTTAGACCAAATGTTACTTAGACCAAATGTTACTTAGAACAAATGTTACTAGACCAAATGTTATTAGACGAAAATGTACTAGACGAAATGTTACTGAGCCCGAGGGTTCAATGCACGTTCCCTGACAGACTCCAGGGAGCCGTTCTGAACAGACTAAATGTCTACTAGGATACTATTTTAAGCTATTTTAAAGGTACATTCACATTCTTTAAATATTAATCTGATCTTAATAGTCTGGAAGATCTTGCAGGTTTTCTAGATTACAAGCGTTCAATTCTCATCCCTTTCTTCATTGTTTTCGCAGTAAGAAATCCGCAAGTCAAAAGAGAAGATACAATTAAAATGAAAAAATTGGTAGCTATAAAATAAAAATATTTTATTCAGTCCTGTTTGTTCAAAGGGTTCCGTTGTGAATAGGACCTGTCTCTCTGTTATTTGGAGGGTTTTTTGAAATTACGTTATAAAAGAACCCTCTTATAACAGTGTTTAGTGTGTATGTAAATATAAAAATTTATAAAAATTTCTCTGGGGAAGAAATCATCATCATTGGAGTAATATTGAAGACCCCCAGATTCTAAGTGGAGACCCCCGGATTTTCATTGGAGACCCCATAATTTCCTTGGAGACCCCTATATTTTTGTTGGTAAACCCTAGACTCTCGTTGGAGACCCCCAGATTTCTACTGGAGACCCCCAGATTTTCATTGCAGATCCCCGATTTTCATTGTGTACCCACATATTTTTGTTAGAGACCCCCGATGTAGGGGTCCCCAATGAACATCGGGGGGTCTCCAACGATAGATCCCTGGGGGGTCTCCAATAGTAATTCAATGATGACGATTTTCTTCCCAAACTCGTGGTTATAAAATAGTGGTCGGCATTTATAGCTCATAATCAGCCAAATAAAATGACTATTTGTGGTTAGCATAAAAACTGAATAAAACAAGTAAAGATTGGGAAACCTTGAGCAATAAAATATGCTCTTATTAAACAGAATAAAACAACTAAAGATTGGAAAACCTTGAGCAATAAAATATGCTCTTATTAAACAGAATAAAACAACTAAAGATTGGAAAACCTTGAGCAATCAAATATGCTCTTATTAAACAGAATAAAATAACCACAGATTGGGAAACCTTGAGCAATAAGATATGCTCTTATTAAACAGAATAAAACAACTAAAGATTGGAAAACCTTGAGCAATCAAATATGCTCTTATTAAACAGAATAAAACAACTAAAGATTGGAAAACCTTGAGCAATCAAATATGCTCTTATTAAACAGAATAAAATAACCACAGATTGGGAAACCTTGAGCAATAAGATATGCTCTTATTAAACAGAATAAAACAACTAAAGATTGGAAAACCTTGAGCAATCAAATATGCTCTTATTGCATTTTAAGGAAAAGAGTTCCATATCTAAATATGAGTCTTTAAAAACAGAACTCTTTTTTTATACACAAAATTTGTATAAAAAATGACGTATTAAGACCATTGCCAATAATAGTCAACATACACCTTTTTTTGTCGACGTATTGTCCAAATCTTTTTTTTTAAATTTCACTTTCATAGAAATATGTGATCCAGTTACAATTTCAGTTGAACTCTTATTTTAGCACAGTAAACAGGCTGAGGGGTGCCCCTGTAGTTTTTTGTCCTAGCACTCTCATTTTGACACTATCATCGTGATATTTTGTGACTATTAATAAATAGTAATTTAGAGGAGTTTTTGTTAACTAAAAAAATATGTTTTTTTATATATAGGGTAGGGCACCGGGCGGAAAAAAGTCAGGTCTGTGAAAAAATCTAAAATAGCACAAATAACTTTTTTGTGTCTAAAGCTACAGATCTAAACACTATATTTATGAAAAGCCCCTGAAAAATGCACGTAGAAACATGTGTCACACTTCAATATTTGTTTAAACAAAAAAACATATTTTTTTCATTTTTTAACCCGTTTTTAGGCATTTTTTTCACCCTCCCTAGCACCCAAACTTTTAAAGTTATCGGTCTAATTTTTTTTCTATGAGCTGGTCATGAAAAATTGGGCTATGAACATGTATTTCAACCCTATACCTATATAATTCTTTAAGGCCTTTTAGTCAGGCTATACATAAACTCAGACCCCTCACTATACATAGATTCACACCCCCCAGCCTTTATAGATTTTCATTTTTTAACCCGTTTTTAGGCATTTTTTTCACCCTCCCTAGCACCCAAACTTTTAAAGTTATCGGTCTAATTTTTTTTCTATGAGCTGGTCATGAAAAATTGGGCTATGCACATTCATTTCAACCCTATACCTATTCTCTAGGGCCTTTTTCTAGGGGGGGGGGCGCCAAACGCTCCTCCCCCAGGCTATACATAGATTCACACCCCCCAGCCTTTATAGGGTTAAACTAAACTGAACTAATTGAGTTTTTGAATGTCACTTTTAAGATTTTCTTCCATAAAAACTTTAAATCCAAAAAATCATAATAAATTTTTATTTTTAGGAAAGACCTTACTTTCCGCGAATATTCAAGCTGTGTAGCACAGTCTAGTCACAAATCACTGCTCTTTATACCTTTTATTTAACAAACATTATGAAGGTATCCCTTTTTTTAAAATAATTTTTTTTCGATCGAAGTTTAAAAAAATTAGAAGAATCTTTGTCAAAAACGACGATTTCTAGTCTACTCGTTTTTAATCCGATAAGAAGCTAAAGGGTATCGTTGAGAATAAAGAACTATATAAATGGTTAATTTTAGACCACATCGATTCATATTTTTATCTATTCATTATTTATTTATTATTTATTCATATTCATATTTATTCTAGCAACCATTCGTTTATTTATAGTTTAATTCTATAGCACGAACAACTAAATACTCATTGTGTGGGGGTGGGGGAGATCTAGACCCCCCCCCCCCCCCCCACCACAAATAAAAAAGGGTGATGTCCAGACCCCCTCCTCCCATAAAAAATCATTTAGCATGACAAGCAGAATGTTGATGAATACAAAAACAAAAACAAACAAAGCCTATTTGGATTTAAATATACAAATATTAATGAAGGTAATAATTTGTCAAAAACAATACAAATGTATAGACATATTATATGAACTCGAAAACAAAGCACAAATAGGAAACGATTTCATTGATTAAATTGTTCGACAAAAGCAGTTCTTTATAAACGTTTGATGGAGTTGGGGGGCTTTTTAAACAAAGAAAAAAGTAACAAAGGTTTTACCAGTTACAGTAAACTAAGAAATTTGATTAGTATTGAGACACTTAAAAGATTGAAAGCAACTTTTTCCTAGCAAAAAATGAGAGATTACAAAGTTTTTTTTTCCGACAAAAAAGTTTTGATTTAATTAGGAGTTTCAAAATACACAGACTACATTATGGTTATTAAAGAGAATATTAGAAAAATATTAACAAAGCAATGTTCAATTACAAAAATTTACATGAATCATTCTAATTTTTAACAAAACTAAGACCTGTCCTGAATATCTTGCTGGAAGATGCCACTCATTTTAGTAACAAAGTTGAACTTTTAAACTAAGCCTGAATGCTTTTTTAACATTGTCAAGCAAATTTATTTTCCGTTCCAAATCCGGTATTTGTAGATTTCAACGTTTTATGGTTTATTGCTTAATTTTTGCAAAAAATAAATCTTAAAAAGTTAATTTTCACTTTTGTTGTCTAAAATCCTAAAATCCAAATTTTTGCATGTTAAAATCTTTGCTAACAATTTTTTACATGACCTTTTGTTTTATAATTATTTTTTTATAGAAAACAAAAAAATAAAAATTAGATTGAAAATAACAGCATAAAAAATGTCTTTTGTGTATGCATAAAAATTAAATATCCCGACCTAAAAAATATCTAAAAAGATCAAACTAAATTACAAATATAAAGCCTACAGTAACATTTGTAATTTCAAAGTCCTAAAAGCATTAAAAAATAAGAATATCAACGTTTCAATGTTTGGTTAATAAAGTTTAGAAAAAACATACTTGATAATCTATATCACGTTCTATTCTTTCCAGTTTCTCATAGGGTTCATCTAAACCAAGAGATTCTCCGGGTACCCCTGAAACCACAGTTTCTCCAGGTCCCACTAATACCACGGAGTCTCCAGGTACCCCTGATACCACTGACACCCCTGAAACAATCCAGTTTTAAATAGAAAATATATGAGCCGTAAAACTTGTTCATCCTTTCTAGAGACAAGATAAATGACCGTAGTCAAGGGTTGGTAAACTAGTATATATCCAAATAGAGAATCAAACACTTTTAACAAAACATTTTAGACATAAACTCTGTAATAGGAAGACGACTTTTAGACTCAGTTATTGACCTTAAATAGTTACATGAACGAGGCACAGTAATTGTGCAGTGTTAACAGACCAATTTAACTTAATTCTTGTATACACAATAAACTATTAAAATTTTTGCTTAGTGACAACAAGACATAAGGTTAATCAAGTAGGTCGTCTTTCTATTCCTCATTTTTCTGGTTCTTACTGAATATGACTGTGGTTACCTGGATAAAGTGGAATAATTGACTTTCTCTTAACATTTGTTCTGTTTTGTTTATTATCTCTTAAAAATCAAGAGTTGGAGGCAAGGTCTCAGTTCGTTTTAAAATTAGGGTTTTTTATACCAATATAAATATACCAATATTCTTGCAATAAATCAATGTCCTGTTTATAATCTATGGAGTTTGAGATGAACCAGGCTAATTTTTCGAAGGGGGGGAGGGAAGGGGGGAAGAGGGGGGTCACTATAGTTTCAGTAGAAGTAAATATTTTCATTTACTGATATCGCCGATATAAGGATTCATATCTCTAATTGGATAATAAGATAGATAGACAACAAACACATTACTGAACCCTGATTGGATCAGGCTCTAATGGATTCGGCATACAGGAGTGGGGTGCAGGGCATAATTTGCAAGTTCTCAAATAAAAATCAATGTGTATTCAGCAAATTAACCTAAGTTCTGACATGACAAGTCTAGGACTACAAAAAAGTGTCGTGAACTACTGAGGTAAAATCAAAGGCCAATGCGTTGTAATACTTGATCGTTAACCCGGTCCTAGAAATCGATGCAACTTTTCATGGCAGTCTGAGTCTACACATATTTGACTTTCAAAAGATTGATTTGAATACCCATAAGTTTTGCAATTTAACATGTCATATGTCGTATGTGTGCATAAAAACTAAACAATGACATATTCTTTGCAATTTGAACTTTGGGCATTCGTGGTAAAATTTATATAATGTTTTTACAAATGGTAAATTAGTGTCAAACTTGAAATGTTTGATATTACATTAGAATCAATTAGTGTAATTTTATTTTCTAAAACATATTTAATCGACATTGCCATTCATTTCACAACTTTTATTCATTTTCAAGATGTAAATTTCCCCCAAGGTGGGGGGGGGGGGTGAAAAACATAAATTTTAAACCTTTTGCATATTGACCTATGCACTAAAATGTCCTTATCTTTATAAAAAAGCTCTTCGCTTTCTATAGCATGCCAAACGGCTGTACCAAATTGGCTGATATTTGTTTACAAAACCCGTGGGTACCTGAGGGGTGACAAAATCTAAAAATTTCAATTTTTTTTTTTTCAGAATTTTCAACTTTTTCCTTCATGCTTAAAAATGTTACAGCCACCGCCGCCGGTCACTTCAGCCAATATCTTAGAATATAAAAAAGACCTATAATTGCAAATTTTCAAAAACTTTTTCCTCTTCCCTCTTGTATATACATCCCCCCCCCACCTTCCCATTTGTTTAAACATCCCGCCTAATTATCAGGTTCATCCAAGAGTTTAAGTTTAATCTAAGGTGTAACAACTCTCATTTAGAGGATAATGTTCGTAATTTGTCTTATCTTGCATCCATACTCTCCAGACCCCTTTCCTGTAAGGCTGTAGTATGCATCCTGTATCCTGTATTCTGTATCCTGTGTCCAGTATCCTGTATCCTGTATCCTGTATCCTGTATCCTGTATCCTGTATCCTGTATCCTGTATCCTGCATTCCGTATCCTGTGTCCAGTATCCTGTATCCTGTATCCTGTATCCTGTATCCTGTATCCTGTATCCTGTATTCTGCATCCTGTATCCTGCATCCTGTATCCTATGTCCTGCATTCTTGCGTCCAGTATCCTGTATCCTGTATCCTGTATTCTGTATCATATATATCCTGTAGTATCCTGTGTCCTGCATTCTTGTGTCCAGTATCCTGTATCCTGTATTCTGTATCATATATATCCTGTATCTTTTATCTTATGTTCTGTTTCCTGTACCCAGTATCCTGTATCCTGTATCCTGTATCATGTGTCCTGCAGTCTTGTGTCCAGTTATATCCTTTATCCTGTATTCTGTATCATATATATCCTGTATCCTGTATCCTATGTTCTGTATCCAGTACCCTGCATCCTGTATCATGTACCCTTTCTTCTACATTTTGTGTGTTCTGATTATGAATTTTGTATTTTTTATCTTTTTCTTCAGAGTATAGATATAACTGGACTTTGACCCATACTTTGTAACCGATGAATAAAATTATTTTTTAATGTCTGATTATGACTTCTCATTTTTTCCTTTTTGGTTTTGTTCATTTCTTTTTAAATTCTAGGCCATTAATCCTTTTCAATTATAAAACCATATAACTCCCTCCTCTTTTTTTCTATATTTATGGCTTAGGTCAAATCTTATAACTAAATATATCTATAAGGTGGAACCAAAAATATTTAAAATTTAAAATATCATTTAAGATGTCGGTCAACTTTTGCCAACCCCTAAAACAATCTTATATATTTCAGTCCGTTCCTGCTGAAACATTCAGTCAAGGTTGACATTTAATTTTTAATCAGAAAATGTTTGGAATTTTAAGAATTTTTTTACTATATATTTTGTTTTTGTTATTAAGCAGTTACAGTAACAACAAAAAACATAATGATTGGATTAGATTGCATTCAATCATCATCATTAACCCACTTGGTGTTTTGAATTGATAAAGGGAAGGCCACGCACCTCTGCCCCTTTGGTAAAAGTAAATTCAACCTATATGAAGAAAGTCTGACCGCGTCAACCTTGTTGCACCGGCTAGTCCTGTCCATAGAGCTAGGTACAGTACAAACTGGGACCGGAAAGGTGACCCGGCTCGGAAATTCAAATGTACTACGGCTGCCCGTGAGGCGCAATTTCAATTGACCCTTGATGGTATTACGTCCCATTCACAATAGAACCTTTAAAAGCTTTGTCTGATTAAGTATGAATTAGATATCAATGTTTAAAAAGAAAACATTTTTTCTTTCAATTATTAATCTGTCAATGGTTTCAAGAGTACTGTTGTGAATCAGAAATTGCCATCTTTCCATGGTCACGTGACTGACATAATCGTCTGGGTTCTCATTTTAATTTGCTATGTTTCATTGTGAATCGGTAATGGCAGTTTCAAATTACAGGGTAATTCAAACTCATCTCGTTTATCCCTAGAATTTATTCAAAACTGTTTTTAAAACCTTAAATTCAGTTTCCCTAATTTTAGCATAGAGTCTGGGAGATAGAATGTAATTTCATTTAGCTTCACAAAATGGCTTTAAGCACTATAATAAAAGCTGTAAAAAATATCACGTAATTCTCAGAAGAATTTGAAAACAAACTAAATTTCTATTCAAATTTTGATATTGAATTTCAATCCAGTTTTCCATATTTAATTCTAAATATTTGCTAAAAATAAACGTACTTTTTACACGCACCTTTTTTAATTAAAATATATAAAAGATGAAGATTTTATATTCTTGATGTGACACGGTGTTATGTTAAAGCATATCACTCAATGGTATATACGTTGGAGAAACAAATCAGCGGCAGCAATTGAACTAGTGGTTGAAATCTGGTTAAAACTCTACGATGTATTTCATGATAATAAAAGGCAAATTTTTTCTCTTTATGAAAAATGAATTCAAAGTCTGAAATTTTATTCTTTGGGTGAATATTTTGAATATATGTAAGAAAGTCACAGGAAAAAAGTTTCCAGAAAAAAACCTAGGAATCAAAACTTTGGTAAAAAAGTCCCGATTTTCAGAAGTTCTAGGACAAAATGTCACTGGAAATAAAATCATATTTCAATAATATTTTTATTCAACTACACAGCATGAGATATTGACTTATGGTCGGAAATCCAAACAAATATCGATTACTACTTTATATAAGATCATAGCGTGGGAACCCAGCGTTGCCCAGGACCATAATTAGTTCCGCCTTTTAACATCGCTTTGTTAAAAATTACGATTTTCGCTATTTCTCCCTGTAAAACTCAACATAGAATATTTCCGTGGTTCTCCCAAATTCCCCAACTAAAATTTGAGGAAAATAGGTCAAGGGGTTCATGAGTTATGATCTATAATATATATAGATAGACTCGAAGAAGAAAAATCGATTTAAAAAAATTATTTTTAAAAAAGAGTTAATTATTTTAGCCTTTCTTAAACTCCAGGCCCCATGGTACTCATGGGTAGGGTTGGTAATCGTTTTTGAAAACGATCATTTAACGATCGTTTTTTGCTTCGTTAAACGATCATTTTTAAAAACGATCGTTTCGTTTTCTCAAAAAAACGATCGTTTTTAAAACAACCCACTCGTTTTGAACTGTTAGAAAACGAAGATCAATCGTTTTTGAAAACGATCATTTTCAGAAAAACGATAAGCGACCGTTTTTTATACGATTGTTTTTAAATAAACGATCGTTAAAAAATAACGATCGTTTTTGAAAAAAAAATTATCATTTTTACGACGTCCTGAAAATAGTCGTAAATGTCGTCTTTAATTAGATTTATCAAATGTCGTCTTACATGCCGTAGCAGTTATAAAATGTTCAGCGGAATTGAATTGAATTGAAGAAATTTGTTCTACTTTTGAGAGTGCAGAGCCGCCATGAGCCCCGCAAAATGGTCAATATGAACTTTAAAACCTAATTCTTTATTTGTTTTATATATGCTTGAAATTTGGCACACAAGAAATTAAAGTACAAGATATTAAAAATATTAAGTTTTGATCATAATTGTTTAGTTAATGAAAGGTCATCCCTAGAAGACTGATTTGATTAGTGATTGGATAAGGTAATGATTGATAATTACGATCGTTAACGAATGGTAGTCGTTAACGATCGTTAACAAAGGGTAGTCGTTAACGAAGGGTAGTCGTTAACGATCGTTAACAAAACGACGAACTTTATAAAAACGATCGTTTTGGAAAACGATCGTTTTTTTAAACGATCGTTTTTTATAACGATCGTTTAAAAAACGACAGTTTTTAAAAAACGAACTTTTTAAAAAAACGATCGTTTTTAAAAACGATCGTTTCGTTTTTCGATTTTCCTCGACGTTTTCTTAACGAAACGATCGTTTTTTTCAAAAATCAAAACGTTACCAACCCTACTCATGGGTTGCCTCAAAAAATATATACATGAGCATTTAAAATGCCCAATTAAGTTTTAAACTTTCGAACTGATATATCCGATGCAAAAAGTAAAAAGCAGAAAAGATATGAATGTGCCACCCCGGACTGACCAGAGTAAGAGGCGTTCGGCTTCTTCTTTTGAAGTCATATGAGTTTTGGTGTATAATTAAACAATCTTTTAACTTACGGAATTGTTCGTTTACAAAACGTATATGCCTTCAACAAAGTATAAAAGAAAAAAGGCAAACAAAAATATGTTTAATAGGTCTTAATTGTGATTGAAATTCATAGCTTTCTGAAATATTGACTGAACCGTTAAATCCACGTGGTGCGTGATATTTATGATATTTGATGATATCAGTTTGAAAAGTTGCTGAAATTTAGTTGAAAACTCATTTTTAATCCTTATTCCTGATTCTCTAAGATATATATAAGATGTAAATAAAAATTATTGTAGGAACCTCTGCTCCGTGAGGAATAAAATTATATTTTTCGAACAAATATGAGAAATTTGATATTTTTAGGAAAACCCATGCATAGCCTTGTTAGAACATAATCATCGGAAAGGAAATATTTTTGGTAAATATTCAAGGAACTGGACCTTTGCCACAAACTTGAATTTTTTAATCCCAATATCTGACAAATCGGACGGTGTAAACCTTCGCAATTCAAAGGTTGATCTAGCAGAATATAAGTTTGACGTATCTGCAACGTGAGGTTACAACGGTATAAGAAATTTAAAAACCCTAACTTTTTCAAAGTAATTTCAAGTAACCCTTTGAAACTATATCTTTAGAACCTTTCAATCAATTTTAAGAGTCCCTTCAAAAAGAGCATCAAAGTAATTTCGATTTAAACCTCTTTCTTTGCAGGGGGGGGGGAGGGTGCAGAACAGAAGTACAAAATCTTTTAGGAAAGAAACCTTAAGAAGATTTGACGATTTAAGATTTAATTTCTTTAGCTTTCTTACGCACCTTATCTTCATTTTCTTTTTATATGAAGATTTAAATAGTATGGTGAATTGAATGGCATTTTGCTTAGAAATACATTTATCATTATCATTCTAAATTTCATCCTCTATAAATTTTGGGGTTCCTTTCCACTACTTGTCCTTATATTGCATACAGATTAAAACTAATTTAAAGTACGCTTCCATTAGGAATCTTTCAGTAAAATAGTTAAATATTTGATTGGTTTTAGGATTTTTCAAAATATCGTTACAGCATTCCTTTTGTGTTAACAATCAGAGAAGGCGGGAAATTTGAAATTGTGTGCTAACATTCAATTATCTAACTCTCATTGCTCGGAAACTGGCAGCGAGAAAAAGATAAAGAAAAAGAGCGAAATGAAATTAAGTGTTCACATTGGATATCCAGATTAAGCGCTTGGGATCGGGTATCCATCCAATTCTAAAGTTTTTAGATCTGATGTCGTCTTCACCTTTAGATTGCAAGAATTACAGTAATCAGTTGATTGCAAGAATTACAGTAATCAGTTGATTGCAAGAATTACAGTAATCAGTGGATTGGAAGAATTACAGTTATCAGTTGATTGCAAAAATTACAGTAGAGTAATTGCAGTTCATTATGATTTTGATTTCATTCAAAACTTTCTTTATAAACTTCATTTTCCATATTCAATAAGTTCATTGCTTTCAAGTCGAATTCTAAGGTTTAACATATTTTGATAAAAGATGAATGTGATTCAATACCAATTGATTTCTTCAGTAATAACCAAAAAATGGTGCAGGAAAGATTGTCATCTTCGTATTCTCTTTCAATCATGAAAGGTCACTTAATATTTAGGCGGTTCTCGTAATCATAGGTTTTCTTATTACAAGATCGACCGAAGACATTCTAAATCATAGCTGCACAAGATTATGACTTGAATTTTGGTCGTCGTTCTCTATTATTTTTAAAGAATAAAAAATTAGGAAAATTGATGAACATTTTGTGAAGTTTTTGAAAATGTTATGAAATTTTATGAAAATGTTGGAAATTTTATGAAAATGTTATGAAAATTTTAAATGTAACCGGGAAGAATATACTTTTCTCAAACTTGTGCGTTAAATCAAAACCAAATGTGTTACGAGGTCACAAAGTCGTAGCAGTAACGTTGCATAAATTTGACCTTCGTCTTCTGTCTTGATCACATTCACAATTGTAAACTTTATTTAAAGAAAATCTTTAATAATGATAAAGGTAGAGATTTCATAGATTAGAGATTTAATGGATATATGATATTACGAAGAAAACTTAATTATCCTAAACAGTTTCTCCGCAATAAAACAGTCTCAGAATACTCCCTTTTAAAGGTGAAATGATGTCATAATATTTATAGTGTTTTTGCCAGATTATGCGGGCCCTCGTGAATAAACTGTTCAATATAAACGCAAGATGCAATAATTGTTACTAGTCAAATGTAGGTTTTTAAGATAAATTTAATTGTAAATCTAACCTTTCAGGGTTATCCCAGGTACCTTAGGTAACAGATTCATGAAGAGAACGAATTATTTGGTTTAAAGCTTTAAAAGATAATAGAGTCTCATGGTTTTGCCCGTCTTCTTATAAAATACTCATATAATAATTCCGTTATCCTGATTTTTTGTAAATTGATTATAAAAACACCATTTAAAGGTTTAAACGGAAGAAATAAAACATAGGGTCGGATTCTGTAGTAAGGCTGGCATGTTTTGCATTCTTGCAGTATTGTCTAGCTTGTATATTTCACTCAATAATTGGCAAAAAGTGCCAGAAAAGCATGATTTTTGATCCATTTTCATCGTTTTCTGCCTCAAGATAATATTTTCAATTCATATTTCCCGTGATATCCTACCAATTTTGAGCTTATAGTTTATTGGTTAAGTTTAGAACTTTAAATGGCGTAAACTCAGATACTCAATTATCTTTTTAGGATGTACACCAAATATTTCATTCTCTTCGTGAATATTTTACCTAAGGTACCTGGGAGAACCCTGAAAGGTTAGATTTTTTGCACAATTGAACTTATCTTAAACCCTACATTTGACTAGGGAATTGTGTGAGTGCAAATTTTTAATGAAATGTATACGTATGTTTCAAGTGACCCTCCATTTATGGTAAGATAAGTGACGTAACAAGCTAGAACAACGCACGGTTATAATGCAAGGAAAGTTAGTTGCAGTTGCGTATACTCTGCATACATAATGAAACCAGTTCTCTTTGGGCGGATCAGTGTTCGTTTAGTATCCGAGGAGGTTAAAAGCATTAAATTTTGATAATTTTGATAATTCACATAATAGTTTCCTATGACCAAAATATTTCATTGATTTTTTATGTTAAAGATGGATCCCATGCCAGGCTTCGACATCCGTCTTGTGTTTACATTACCACCCAGAGACAGTACACGGCAGTACAAAAGATGCGTACACCTCTGAAATAACTTTCCTTGCATTATAACCTTGGAACAACGAAGATATCTTCCACATTATAGGGACCGATTATAGTGACTTGACCCCTCAAAGATTGCAATGCCCGATTTACAACGATATACACTTAGATATCAGTATTTATAACTGTGGGTTCTCTACCAAAGTGACTAGTGCATTTCTACTGGAATAATTAGAATTAAGCACGTACCTATAGACCTAGAATAAAAAAAAATATCTTCCATATCATTAATCAAATAAAGATTTTAAAAGTACCATTGTGAATCGGACATTTACATATTTTCATGGATTAGCCTCTTGAAATTAAACTTACACAGTTCCATTACGAAGCAAACCTTTTAAATTAAAAATGTTAAAATTTCAACTTATTTTTTGTAGCATAATCCGCAAGAAACTTTCATAGAAAAATTTAAATTGAAAATAGTTAATTTAAAAAATACAGATTAGATATATAAATTATTCTTATTCAAAATTATTCAGGGTACAGCAAGATTCTTAGAAATTTGTATACAGTCCTTTTAAACCACCTTCGGGTGAACACTGAACAAACCCTGGAAGAGTTTAATGAGAGGTCTTAAACTCTTGTTATGCTGAATATACCTTCTCCAATGATTCCTGAGAATCTGAGGATTAAAGCAAACACCAAAACTACAAACTCCAGGTTCCCAGCCATTCTACAATTTTACTAAACAGGGGTTAATCTATAGATCTGAAATTATAATGTTAAAACTCTTTTATAGTTTCACACTTAAGCTTTTTCGCCTACTAGCTGTTGTTTTATTGTTCTAAAAAAAGTTTTCAACTAATGTCCATAAAAAAGGGTCGTCAGACGTCAAAAAAAAGTTGTTTATGGCATAATACCGTGTTAACCTTAAAAATAAGCCTCATATTAAAAAATGTGCACACGATCACTTTCTCAAAGATATATTTTAGAATCATGATTACTTTTAATTAACACAGTCTTTTCTAGAGTTGTATCTTTTACTATTTACTTCAAGTTGTTGTTAATGCTTTTTGTTTTTATGCTTTTATTAAACAAAAACTCGTTAGACATAAGTATGTTCCAGGCTTTGTCTGTACTCGGTATCCTTCATTGTTCATTACAAAATAATAATACAAGTAAGGTTTCAAATCGAAATTCCGTTTTGCGATAGTTTGTAGAGTTGTGTGAAAAACTCTTTTTTGTGACATTTTTTAATATACTATGGTAATATTGTCCATGATTATTTTTACTTACTATCGTCTACCAACACATTTTTGTTTCATATTTGAGGTTTGGGCATAGAATTAATTCCTGTTAAACTGTGTTTATTTAGAAAAATAGTTTAATTCTGGTTCCAGGGTTAGATCGTTTTATTTAGTGAAATTATCCCATTATTTCATGCTACATTAAACTATCATCTTTACATATATCATTAAACTTGGAATTTAAAAGATTCATTGGTTAGGATTAGTGTTGCAGAATTTCGATAAATTTTCTTTCGTATTTCGCAAACTTTTTCGCGAAAATACATTTTTGCAAAAGAAATTAAAAAAACTGCAAAATTTTGCGAGAAAAAAACGACAATTTCGCGAAATATTTGCTTTTTTTGCGATATTTCCATAGTCGAATAAATGGAAATTTTGCAATAATGTTTAATAAACAAAACAATGCAATTTTTTTCTTTCACAACCACTAGACTTCTTGTATTATGTTTGTTAAAAGGCGCCAAATCTGTAATATGTGTGAAATTGAAACAAATGTTTTGTCGTATTCTAGATTTCAAGATGCGCCGCGAGAAGTATATTTTGTTCCAATCGTTGCATTATCTGATTTTATAAACTAAATCTAAAAACAAGTAGCTTCAAGTTATAAAATGTACATTTCTGAGGCTATAAAAAAGTACAGCTTAGTCAATCGAAAACCAAGGCATTGCGACACTTCAAAGTAGACCTAGTAGTAGTTTAAAAATTGAATAATATTTTCCTAGATGTTTGGATCTATGTTAACAGACTTGATGAATACCAAGGATTTAATGCAAGGAAAATTATTTCAGAAGTGTACGCATCTTTTGTACTGCAGTGTACTGTCTCAGGGCGCTAATTTAAACACAAGACGGATGTCACAGCCTGACATGGGATCCACCTTTCACATAAAAAAATCAATGAAATATTCTGGTCATAGGAAACTATTATGTGAATTATCAGAGTTATCAAAATTTAATGCTTTTAACCTCCTCGGATACTAAACTAACACTGATGCATCTATTCTTGTTAACAAATTACACCCAGAGAGAACTGGTTTTAATATGTACGCTATCCGCGACAGCAATTAACTTTCCTTGCATTACAACCTTGATGAATACCATGTTAGAATGTTATCTAACATGTATAACGTCAATTTGGGGAAACTTGTGTCACAAGTAAAAGTTTAAAAGTTTGGAATTAGCAATTGACTGATTTCCTGTATAATTGATTGATTAATTAACATATATCATTATCTCTTTAAAGCAGTGCTACGGAATTTACAGATATGTTTGTATTTACTTCATAATTGAGTTATTAATTAACATATTTTATTATCTCTCTAAAGCAGTGCTACGGAATATACAGATATGTTTGTATTTACTGCATAATTGATTGATTAATTAACATATTTCATTATCTCTATAAAGCAGTGCTACGGAATATACAGATATGTTTGTATTTACTGCATAATTGATTAATTAATTAACATATTTCATTATCACTATAAAGCAGTGCTACGGAATATACAGATATGTTTGTATTTACTGCATACTTGATTAATCAATTAATATATTTTATTATCTCTATAAAGCAGTGCTACGGAATTTACAGATATATTTGTATTTACTGCATAATTGAGTTATCAATTAACATCTTTTATTATCTCTATAAAGCAGTGCTACGGAATTTACAGATATATTTGTATTTCTTGCAGAATTGATTAATTAATTAACATATTTCATTATCTCTTTAAAGCAGTGTTACGGAATATACGGATATGTTTGTATTTCCTGCATAATTAATTAATTAATTAACATATTTTATTATCTCTATAAAGCAGTGCTACGGAATATACAGATATGTTTTTATTTCTTGCATAATTGAGTTATTAATCAACATCTTTTATTATCTCTATAAAGCAGTGCTACGGAATTTACAGATATGTTTGTATTTACTGCATAATTGATTAATTAATTAACATATTGCATTATCTCTTTAAAGCAGTGTTACGGAATATACGGATATGTTTGTATTTCCTGCATAATTAATTAATTAATTAACATATTTTATTATCATAGTTGAAGCTTAGAGGTCCCTGTTCTCCTCTATCCAGTCCTCCTGCCCTACCTAAACCATCCACCACCACACCGTCAATACCGTATCTATAATATTTCTTTCTTTTATTATCGAGCAACTGGGGAGCTGATATGAAAACAGCTACAGCTATAGCAGTTCTCCAGACGCAGAACATTAATCAGTTGTCAATTAATCTACCACTTGTAATAATATTTTTTAACAATGTTTCTGCGTAAATAAATAATATTTGATTTGATTTTGATTTGATCTCTATAAAGCAGTGCTACGGAATATACAGATATGTTTGTATTTCTTGCATAATTGATTAATTAATTAACATATTTCATTATCTCTCTAAAGCAGTGTTACGGAATATACAGATATGTTTTGTATTTCATGCATAATTAATTAATTAATTAACATATTTCATTATCTCTATAAAGCAGTGTTACGGAATATACGGATATGTTTGTATTTACTGCATAATTGATTAATTAATTAACATATTTCATTTTCTCTATAAAGCAGTGTTACGGAATATACGGATATGTTTGTATTTCCTGCATAATTGATTAATTAATTAACATATTTCATTATCTCTATAAAGCAGTGCCACGGAATATACGAATTTTTTTGTATTTTCTCAATGCTTAGATGTAAGAAGTCTTTTTGTTCATTATTAATGATACTTTTTAATCAACGGGTTGCAAAATCATAACAGATTTAGGTTTCTAAGATGGACAATTATAGAATAAGAAGGTTTCTTTTCGAAACTTTTAAAACCAAAAGCTAAACGCAGACTCAAAAGAAACTGAGGTTTTGCCCCAAACTCAAATTGTCTAATACTTTAATATTTGGTACCTGATGGGGTAAGTCTGTAAAATTTCAAACTAAGATCATTTGACCTTACAGAAGTCATAGTTTGAAATATCTAAGGTCTACCACATTGGGTTTGCAAAGGATATCAGAGTTTGTGGCAAAAACTCAATTCCTTTTCTGAAAAAAATGCAAAATAGATTTATTATAAAATTTATCATTATTCTTTACATTTATTTCAATCAATGTCGATAATAAATATATTTTAAAACATATTCTCATCCATTAATTCTAGTTTGGCAAAAGTGCATTTTGAAATATTTTGGCGGGAAGCTGAATGAAATTTGTCAAACGGGTGAAATTCAATATAATTCAATATGAAGTTTACATTTTACATTTCCGGAAAGAAAGATGGCGGGCAAAGGTAGAAAAAGAAAAAAAAATATCTTTATGTTTTGTTTCTTTTTTATCGTGTATTCATTTTTGTATTATTTTTTTATTTCCTAAAATGCTCTTTTTATTCTTTGTTTACTTATTGAATCTTTTATGCAGTTTTTGTTGTTTCTGTATGTATCCCATTTTCATTCTCATCTTTTCTTTTTATTTTTCCCCTCGTTCATTTTCTTATTTCCATGACTATGACCCTTGAAACCGTGGAATATTAAGCTACTGTTCCTAAGCTATGAACCTTGAAACCGTGTAATAGTAAGCTACTGTTCCTAAACTATGAACCTTGAAACCGTGTAATAGTAAGCTACTGTTCCTAAACTATGAACCTTGAAACGGTGGAATAGTAAGAAGATATCTTATGTGTATTTGCAATGTTGTTATAAAACCAGTAGCTTGAAAATCAACTCAAATGAGCCTGTCCTCACTGCACAATTTCTGTATTTCATGATCTTTGGACTATTTTAAATCAGAACTTGACTCGTACACAGTCGTCTATCTATCACACAGAATGTGTCTCACTGTATTTTACTTATTCTCTTGCGCCAATGTTACTATCATACTTTTTATTTTCTAATCGTGTCAGAACCTTGTTTTTTCTTTCTTTTCTGTGCTTTTTGCTTTCCTTAATTTATTAACGTCTGACAAGATTATATAACAATCCTGCTTCATTCGTCTAATTACCTTTCATGCTTGTTTCTTTAAGTTTTTGTTTATTTTCTTAATTTTCTTAATTTTCTACAAAAGTGGAAACTGGGTGCAGTTCTAAGCTTTCATCTTCCATTGTTGTTGCTTGTTTCAGGAGTTTTCGTTTTTGTTTATCTAAATTTTTTTTTTTCTTTCATTTTCTATTTTTGCTAAACCTTCATGTTTGTGCAATCTACATTAATTTTACTCTTTCTAATCTTGTAAAAAGTCCTAAAAATCGATGTTCTGACAAAATTTTAATCATATTTTAACTTTTTTAGATCAACATTTTTTATCTTGAAAAGAATACTTAGTTATTATAATTTTTTAAAACAGTTTTGAAATGAAACATCTTAAATATTTTTGATCCATTGGGATAAAATCAAACTGTTGAGTTTAGCTGTTGGTGCTATGAGGTCACAATGTTGGCGCTACGATATCTGCTCTATTTT